GCCAGCCTCTCCACTACATGGTCATCATGCACCCTGGGCTTTGCCACAGGATGGTGCTGATCTCCTGGTTGGGGGGGTTGGGAAGTGCCCTAATTGTTTGTTCAATGACATTGAAGTTACCCAGATGTGGCCACCGTCGAGTGGATAATTTTTTCTGTGAGATGCCAGCGTTGGTCAAGATGGCTTGTGTCCATTCAAGAGTCATTGAGATTGTTGTCTTTTCTCTTGGAGTTGTATTGCTTCTAGTACCTCTGTCACTGATTCTCATCTCCTATGGAGTCATCACTCAAGCTGTAATGAGGATCAAGTCAGCCAGTAGGTGGAGAAAGGTCCTGAACACCTGTGGCTCCCACCTCACAGTAGTGACTCTGTTCTATGGGACAATCATTTATATGTACATGAGGCCACAGAAAACCAAGTCCCAAGATGAAGGGAAATTCTTCACTCTCTTTTACACAATTATCACACCCAGTCTTAATCCTCTGATCTATACTTTAAGAAACAAAGATGTAAAGAGTGCTCTGAGCAGCGTACTGGTAATGGACAAATGTTCCTCAAAAGTGTGAAGTAAATGGAAATCTCCTACCAGAGTATAGAGAAACAAAAGAAATAATGGCCTTCCACAATAGAAGCTACATCCATTCTAAGATCACTTATTAGCAATTTACCAAAATATCATTTAACTTTTAATAAATGGGAAGTACCAGGAAATATGAGGCAGATAGAGATCCATGATAATATACAATTCCTAGACATCAAAAACTAGTCAAGCACCACTGTGATTACAAATTATAGTAGGTACCCAGAATTAGAAAATAATCACAGTGGTTCCCACTTTTTTTTTTCTTGTGCCAGTCCTGGGTTTGAACTCAGGGCCTGGGTGCTGTTCTGAGTTTTTTGACTCAAAGCTAGCACTACCACTGGATCTTCAGCTCAACTTTCAGCTTCTTTAGTGGTTCATTGGAGATAAGAATCTGATGGACTTTACTGCCTGAGTTAGTTTCAAACTGTGATCCTTAGAGCTCAGTCTCCTGAGTAACTAGAATTTATAGAGGTAAGCCATTGGCACCTGGTAACTGTTAATATTTTAAATATAAAGCCCTGCAAAAACCATTAACTTTTATGCTCTGAAGTGGCAGGTAATGAATAAGTAGAAGTTAGAATGGAACTAAATGAAGTTTATATTCTCCAGATTAATCAAAAAATTTTCACTTCCATTAATAAAGTTTTTTTTTAAGGTGGTCTCACTTAGGTAGGCCAGACTGGCTTCAAAATCAAAATCTTCCTGCCTCAAGTTCCTGAGTGCTGGGATTATGTACTGAAGGGCTTTAAACTAGCTAGGCTGGCACAATATTGCTGGCTATGCCCCTGTCCCTGGTTTTCAATGGCTATTTTAAGGAGAGAGTCTCCCATTTCCACCCAGGCATGTGCCTGATCTTTGATCCCATATTGCTGGGATCCTGGGTACATGTCATCTTTCCTGTGAACATGGAATCTTGTGGATTTTTCTTCTTGAGCAGGGTTGGGATTGAGGTCCTTTGACCTTAGCTTCCCATGTAGCTTGGGAAGACAGGTGTGAGCAGCTTCACCCAGCTTTCAGTTAAGAAGGGAATCTCTTGAGCTTTTAGGGCCAGGCTGTCCTTGACCCTTGGGCCTACTGATAACAGCCACCCATACAGCTAAGGTTATAGATACAACTACTTTGGAATAATGGCTCTGGAATAATTTTGTTTTCAAAGAAAGATGGGAAAAATTATGAATGAACTGATTCTATTTTAAGGTCTTTGGCTAAATTATATGTACAGTGAACTTATTTTTTCTTGAAATGTCTTGATTTTCCTACTAATAAAGATGATAAAATAAGAAAAAAACAAAAAAATTATAGTAGGTACAGAACCATATATCTGCAAAATGTAGCTTCTTTTTTTCCCATTCATTTTCTATTATTATAAAGGTAATGTACAACCTATTACAGTTCCGTAAGTCAGATCAAGAGTACATTCCTTTTTGGGCAATGTCAACCCTTCCCTCACTCTCTTCCAGTTTTTTTCCTCCCTTCCCCACCTACAAGTTGTATAGTTCATTTTCAACATAGTGTCTAGCAAGTACCACTGCTACATTGTTCACCCTTTATCCATCCATTTCTCTGCCCCCCCCACCCTCCCAAGGATAGATAAACAAAGAAGACAAAAGGAAAATTTAAAAAAAAAAAAAAGAAAAAATTCTTGTTTCCATTTCCTGGAGTTCATTTCAATAAATATCATTTCATATGATCACATGCCCATAGCTATTATACCTTTTCTTCCTCTCCTAAGAATATCCTCTTTAGGTCTCACTGTTTGTGAATGTTTAGAGACCTGTATAATTTATCATGCTCCGGTGTGTTTTTCTTTTACCATCAAATGTGTTTACTTGCAGATTTATAGGCACATTGTAGCTACCATTAATGAGGGAAACCACACAACCTATGTTTCTCTGGCTCTGTCTTATTTCACTTAATATAATTTTTTCCAAGTCTTTCCATTTCCTCACAAATGACACTATATCATTCTTACAGATGGTTGAGTAGAATTCCATTGTGCAGAGATACCACATTTCTTAACCAACTTAAAATCTCACCTCTTTGAAATCTGCCAAAATCAAGCCAGGCGCCAGTGGCTCACACCTGTAATCCTAGCTACTCAGCAGGCTAAGATCTGAGGATCAAGGTTCAAAGCTAGCCCAGTCAAGAAAGTCCATGAGATTCTTATCTATAATTAAAGACTAGAAAACTGGAAGTAGCACTGTGGCTCAAGTGATAGAGTGCTTACCTTGAATTAAAGAGCTCAGGGACAGTGCTCAGGCCCAGAGTTCAAGACCCATGACCAACCAAAAAAGAAAAAATTCTGCCACAATCTCATCATCCCATTTTCTGGACTCCTTTAAAAGTATGACAAAATCAGTTGTGGTATTCTCTTATTTTATTTGGGAGATATATAATATATATAATATATTATATATATCTTTGAGAGCAAAGTTCTCTGGTAAGCTTTTCCACAACATAGAACTTTGTACTCATTTGGCATTTTCTCTGTTTAAATTGCTTTTTGCATGTTTGTTAAATGATTAAGTGAAAAAATTACTAAGCATTTTTTTAATTTAATTTTATTTGTGAACATACTGTACAGAGGGGTTACAATTACATGGGCAGGATAATGCGTACATTTCTTACCAAGCATTGCAGCCTC